TATTCATCTTTCACAAATGGGCAAATATTCTGGTAAAGATACTCTTGTCTTTTGTAATCCAAAGGAGGTGGTGTTAACACTAAAATAGATAAAGCTCTAATTTCTTCAAAAATATCTGCTTTCTTAATTTTCAATAAATTGAATTCAGCAAAAGGCCCATTAGCAACTTCTTGAACTTTGATCACACCAAGATTAGATGCTTCAAAAAGAAAATGTTGATGTTCCTGGATACCTGGTAATTTCTTAAGATAGATTCCCAAAATTGCTTTAATGTCTAAATATTGAAAACCTTTTCCACCTTTATAACACTGAGCTTTATTCAATCCAGCTGGACTAGACTTTTTTATCACCTCAATAACATGGTCTAGACAATCTACTCTGGTTCTTCTATAGAGTTTTTTAATCATGCCAAAATTACCATCACATTTGAATTTGGTGTGTCCTGGAATCATGAAATTCAATTCAATACTTTCATAATAACCACAAATTACCAAATATAAATAAAATCAAATAGTCACATTATTTTTATTTTGTCCACCTGCATTATCACAAGTAATCTTTAAATGCTTTTCACCTTTATTCAATTTCTTAATTCCATCAAAGATCAAACTAAGAGTTCCATTAGGACCTTTTCCTATAATTTCATCTTCATTAAGAACATAATTAATTTGTTCCCTTACTGCTTCATCTTGAATACCAAATAAATGAACTTTACATGGACTAAGATAATAAATTTTACTTACTTGTTGATCTAAATGTTGCACATGAACATTTTGAGCTCAATCATAACTATAATGAGCATGGCATCAATACTACAATATTGTGTTTTACCCTTTGAATAATGTTGTTTAACTAATTTCCTTTGTTCTGCTAATTTGGTGTTTTTATTATAATAATTTCTTTCTGCTTTGGCCTTGGACAAATATTCTTTAAATCTTTTAAGTAATTTTTTGGCTTCTTCTTTTTGGTGAGCATTATAATGTAAACCATCTCTAAAATGTTGACAAGTATCACACAGATCAGTCCTGGGACTCATAATTTGAATCTCTGGTGTCAATTGATGTCATAATTTTCTAAAAGCATCATATTTTAAGGATTTCAAATTACTATCTTCTTCTAGACCAGCTAGAAAATTTCTATGTACTGATTTATAACTCATTTCTGCTGGTAAGAATATAATTGATTGAGTTATTCTATTGTTACTTCTTCCTGGACTTGGTAATCCATGGACTTCTGCAACATTTTCTAGAAAATTCTTTACCACTTCAGCAATATTTTTATCAATCACCATTTTGGTTTTCCATTGAGGCATTCTTTTAATATTACTATGAATTCTTGGTAAAAGACCATTGTTTATCAGATGATTTCTAATATTTCAAAGTAAGTCCTGCCAATTCCTAGCATATTGAGATACCCTATAAAAAATTGGCATGGAAATGTATGGGAAATGTATGGGAAAATTACAGGCAAATCCCTTGAAAATGTATGGAAGGCGCAGTTTCTGTGCATTTTCCATGCATTTTCTGTATTTTTCATTCAAAAAATAATTGGACAATGTATGGAAAATGTATGGAAAATGCAAGGAAGCTGCGCCTTCCATACATTTTCTGTACATTTTCAAGGGATTTTCCTGTACTTTTCTGTACAAAAATGCATGGAATTTTACCTGAAATTTGCATTTTTCCATACAAATTCCATGCATTTTCCCATACATTCCCATGCCAGATTTTTTTATAGGGATAAGTTTCTTGACAAAGTAATGTATTGTGATTTCAGTGATAGAAAGTCCTTTTATTAGATCTAGTTTTCTTTTTAAGGCATCTGCTAGTGCTTGTTAACCCACCATCCATTGCCTTAAGTTGAGCCATTAAAAAGATGTCTTGTTCTGATTTAGAAAGAGCTCGAAAGGATTCCCTTAATTCTGCAAAATTTTCCTTAGGAATTTTTGAAGAACAACCACAATTACATCCTTTTTCTAAAAAATCAATTGTTTTTTCATATTCATTAGAACCATTATATTTATTATTACTTTTCATATACACTTATCCCTATATATAATTTTATAATTTTATGTCCACTTTGTAGGTTTTTTTAATTTTGTTACAAATAACTACTTGATATAAAATTCAAAAACTATTTAGGAATTGTAAGGAAACCTCTTTTCCTTACATTAATTCGCAAGACAAAATGCTTTTAATTAAAATACAAGTTACTTTATTTCAAGTCGGAAAGCTTATATTTTTATACAATTTGATTAATAATATAAATACAATAAATAAATATTATCCATATGTCTTAGTAACCATATTGGTATCTTAAGACTTTCTGGAAAGCTCCAGCGCTTAATTGTAACTCATATCCATAAAAATAAAATAATAGAATTAATAATAGTACGTGATAACAATATAGATTTAAATTGCTTAATAATAGATCGATCGCGTACAATGTGAAGTATTGATACACATAAAATAAATCTTGTATCACCATGCCCGCCTTCTCTTTAAATTAAACAAAAACGTTGTTTTACTAATTTGTTACATTTCTACATTGAATATCTTTAAGCTGAAATATCCCTTATATTTTACACAAAACTTGAAGATTCTTTTCAATAAAGCAATTTTATATTGATCACAAGCATTCATTAACTAAAGTGAATATTACTCTTTCAACTCTATTAGTGTCATAAAGGCAATACCATTATTAAATTTTAGAGTAAATAGTAAAAAACATATAAGAATTCAGTTGTTTACAATTATTTTATTTCATAAATGCAAGGAATTTGTAATTGAGATTGTTGATTTTGTTACCAAAGACAGTAATTTAATTCCTAAATTTAGTAATTTGGCAATAAACTTTAACACTAAGATCATTTTCTGTTTTATTAATAATCACCCTTAAAACTTCTTTGGGGGAACAAGTGTATAATGAAGAACCTGCATACTACATTTGGTGGGGATAGCTTCACAAAAAATGTGTGAACCAGGATTTAAAGATAATTTCACATATAAAATTTTGATGTTGATCACCAAGAATTTTCAGAATGGATCTGTTCAGTGACTCATGATACTTGATCGACACACACGTGCACAACTGATTATTATTACACGCGTACCCTTATTGTTATTGATGTGATTATTTTTTATCTCTAAAAAAAAAAAAAAAAAAAAATGAAAACTGCTGAAAACGACTATCTATGGATCACTTCACCAGCTTTATGGAGTCTCGACGACTATGCTATCTGGTGTGGCTCTTGTGAGTTGCTGGAGGGGAACAAGGTGAAGATTGTGGATCATATGAAGAAAAGGCTTGAGAAAACCAAGAATAATATACATATTAAGGACGACATACGAAAGAAGACATCTGATTTGTATGAGGACTTTCAGGTGATGTTTTATATATAAACATGTACAAAAGATAGTACATAGGATAGGGTTGTATGCATTATGGAATGACTGTTTGTTGTTTCTGTTACTACAAATCTTAAGAGATAACAGAGATGTTGGATTGAGCCAGGGGACTGTTTGTCAACTGGAAGATCGACTGTTTGTCTATCCTTCTCTTTGGTCTCCTGTGGCACACTAGGAACTGTTTGTTACCGGTGTTGGACTGTTTGTTCGCCACGGCCTGTTTATTTTTTAAAGCAACAAGACTTTATTTTATTTATGTTATTATTAGGCAAATTTTGACCAAAAAAAATTTTTTTTTTCACGATAATAGAAATGGAAATCCTCAAAAAAAACAACGGATTTTTTTCAAGAGCTTTCAACTAAATATCAAACCAAAAAGCAAATAGTGTTAATTGAGAACCAGAAGGCTATCGAGTTGGCTGAAATCGAGCGCATGAAGGTGTTTTTTTGTCTTTTTTTTATATACATAATGTAAGACTTTCTCACTGTGGTATATTATCTGCACTAATAAATTTAATATGATATACTGCTGCAGATTACACAATTACGGAATAATACAGAATCTGTAACGAAGATTCATCAGCATGTTTCTGATGGCTTTGTGGAATATAGCAAAGAAATGAGAGAGATCCAAAAGCACACATTACAAGATAATGAAGAAAATACCAGTAAAAAACAAAAGCATGTAAGCCATTTTATATTTTTTAAAGGAAATTTTATTTTATAGCATATTCAAGACATAGCATTTATTTTATCACATGAAAATTACTTTTCACTTTTCCCATCTTTGACGTGTTTACCAGAATGATCCAAAAGAAGGAGATACAGAAGCGATTAATAACAAACAAAATTTAGATGAACAACGAATTGAGGTAGGTTTCTATAAATGAGTGATTATGTATCAGAAAACAACTTATTTTTTATGACTTTCCTTAGGAAGAACTTGCGAGACGGTATAGTCTCAGAGAACGAAAAAAAACCAACTATGTTGACATTTCAGGCTTAGACACAGATCCATATCATGTAATTATTTCTTGTTACTTTTTTTTCGTAATAAAAAATATACAATTCTCATTATATTCTTATTTTGTTATTTTAAAATCTATCAAGTATCAAGAATTTGACCCCTTGCAAGACAACCTGGATCATTCTCCGGCTATATCATTAAACAGGCCAATCATATTGGAGACAACATATAACCTAATTTCTACGCACGTAATTTGCGCGTTCAACTCAACGTTACATTTGGTCAAGAAATCTGTCGATGAAAGCTTATTTGAAAAGATCGAAAGGCTTATTAAAATGCGAAACAAACTAATCTTATCAAAGCCAATGATGCAAAAGCTTAAAACGATTTTTGAAGCAAATTTTACGGAAATTACTTTGAAAATAATAACAGAGACGGAACGTGAAAAGAATACGGAAAAAACTGAGGAATCACAATTCCTTTTTTTCATTAGACATGCCCTTCTCGATTTTGTCGCAATGTTTGAAAATTTATCACCAAGGATATTGAATCAGGATATGTCTGAAAGGACGTATATAATTGAATCTATTTCACCTATTTTCCGATCTTTCAGAAATGCATTTCCTGAAGTTAAATACGAATGGATCGAGAAGGATGTTAGGTCAGTGAAGGAAGCGGGAAGAATGTTTGCAATTAACATCAAGTCTCGGAAGACTGATCTCCTAGTTATAAGGCTCTCTGATGCAACTGAAATCTTACATGTTGAAGTTTCTGGCCCGCCTTTTAAAGCGGATAAAAAACACACAATAGGTGACATTAAAAAATTACTGATGATGGCAGTTTGCAATCTTTGTAGAATCTTAGCAAGCAACTTTGATTGTCCAATTGACTATGCAAAAAAAGTTAAATCGTACAGTATTCAGGTGATTGGTGACAAATTAACGTTATTCTCTGTGTCACTTGTTGATAAGAAGAAATACTTAGCTATTGAATTAGCTTCCTGTGTAATTCCCTTTTCGTTTGAAGAAATTGGATGTTATATAAAAATTTTTAATTTTTTTGCGATCATAAGGAATGAGTTCAGTGAACAAAAAAAACTTTTAAAAAAAATTCGTACTTTTGTACCCTCGGTTGAAGATGATACCAGTGAACTACGGGAGTGGATAGACTTACCAGAAGATGATCTAATACCTGTAACAGAAGAAGAAATGGATGAACTCTTTTTAGATTATGAATGAAATTTTTATTATACAATAGCATTATTATAGTAATGGGATAATTATATTATTTTTGAGAGAATGAATTTATGAATATAGTAAATGGGAATAATTAGTACTATAAAAAGTCTTGGTAATCTTAAATAAAGAAATACAAATAAGGAAATTATTTGCATAAAAACCATGAGTCTTTTTATATGTGTGTATATATTAACAAAATTTTATAACACGAAAATTTATACGCGCACTCCCTTTGCTCATATGTCTTTTGCTATTAAATGACCATACATAAAACAATTAAAACAATGGTTTATTATTTTTCATCAAAAAAATGTAAATAAATAAAATATTACAACGCCATTTTTTTCATCTCTAATAAATGAATTTTAAAAAAAAAGCTAATGAAACCACAACTGGACAAGGACTAGTGTTTGCAAATTGTTTGTAAAAAGTAAGAAAAATGAAAGTAAGAAGTGATGATGGCAAAATCAACTTACAATAAATGAAAAATAAAAATGGACATACACGTGTGATTTTATTGTATTAATATATTAATTAATACTATTAATAGATAATAATACATAAACAAATAAGTAAGTAATATTAATAAATAATATTAACTTGACACCCCTATAGAAAATCCATGTACGGAGAAAACATACATGAATTTTCTATAGGGCATGTTTTTTAATCTTTATCCCTTGTTACCATTGTTGTGCTAAAGTTTAGAGTATTTTTGGTTGTTATCATTGATGAGTGAGCTTGCTCAATTGATTTATTTAACAGATGACTTGTATAGAATGACCCAGAATGGTGTTTATAATTCTTTACATCTGATAAGAACTTTTCTGATTTGACGATTTCTTGTCTTTTGGCTTCTACTAATTTGATAATTTTTCTTTTTTTTCTTGATTCTTTACTAGAATTCTCTAATGCTCTTTTGAAAACTCTTTCTTCATGGTAAATTTCATAAGTAATCCTTTCTTTTCTTAGATAAGCTTCCAGTGTTTGAGTATCATTTATTTTGAAAATGTAAGGAGCAATTTTTTCACCTTGTTCTTTCTTCAAAATACTTCTGATAGTACTATAATTCTTGGGTTCCATAGTAGATCTGATGTAAATGAGTTTCATATTAACTATTTTTGTCTAGACAAATATCATGATCATGTTACATTGGCAATACAATTGTGACATTAAACATTATTGATCCCTGAAAATCTTGGTAATGCCAATGTTCACTTTGTCTGGTTTTGTTGCAGCATGCCCCATGTAATATCTTTAAGAGTTTTGGGTAAAGTTAGACCAGATTCTTTCATGATTTTGGTGTCATGTTCACCTTCCCATGATGCATCAGCTTCAGAAGCAGACCAATCAGCAATTTTTGAACCCACTATTCTGACATATTCATCTCCTTTTTTTGCCTATGGATTTTTTTTGCATTGGTACTTTATTACCAAGAGTATGATATCTGTTCTTGCATTCTGTACTGGAAATACAGGTCTTTTTGCCTCTAAAGAATTAATTGGTTCAGAAAAAGGGTAAAGTTTAAAACAAGATGGAAAAGAATTATTATAAATAGTCACTTTTTATCTATCCAACAAAAAGCACAAATGGTGTATCTGAAAAGGCAATATCTATAGTTCTCCAGACCAGGGTTGGCAAATTGACTGGTCCATTGCAATTAATAAAATACTAAATATGGTTAAAGTGTTCCAACCCTGCTCCAGACATGTATTTGATACCATGATTCTGGTAAATTTTTTAATGTGAGTGGATTTGGCTCTGACCCCAACAACCTAAGCCTGCATATAATATTAATCATTGATATAAATATATGAGTTATGAATTAAGGAACAACAACAAGATCCACAAGAGTAAACAATGCTTACCAATCAGAAATTGTTGTACAGACATGCTCATATTGAAAATCCACATGTGAGTTGTAAGCTTTGCCAAGTTTGGGATGTGCTTGATTTAAAATATCTCTTATGTTACTTGTCAAAGACTGGAGGAAATTAATTTGTGTTGTAAAATATAAAACTTATAAAATGACAATAAACCTATAAATTACCTTTGGAAAAGTGTTTATATATTGTAATAAATCATCTTCAATTTCCACATCTTCTATATCAGTACAGTCCACATTGTCTATAATGGATCATTGGGACCAGGGAAATTTGTCTGTTATAGAGAGAATCCGGGTTGGGTTAGGTTAACCCTTGCTCCACTATAATATGAACCCAACCCAACCCATTATGTTCCATTAACAACCCTATCCATTCCCAAAGGGGGTGCACTTATGGAGGGTTGACTGTATTTAAAATAACAATTTATGGTTATTTAAATCTTAAATAAATAATAATATAAGACATGATGTAATGTACTAAAAGTATATAGGAAACAAATAAAATGTATAATCGAATTTCTTGATTTATTTCATTTCATCATTTTTTAAAATGTCATTAAATAAGAGAAAATCTTTAAGTTTGTTTAACAAAGCAGACAACTCCGATTCCAATAAACAAAAAATTAACAACTTAAAATCAAAAAAATGGAATTAATTTAAAAATACCACAACCCAAATTATATGAATATTGAATAGTATATTTGGCAAGTGAGTTTGTATTTTTATATTGCATATGTTGATAGCATATAATTTTTTATGTGTGCTCAACTATGTGTTTATTATAATTTGTAACACCATAGCTGTACATCATATAATGTTTTTTTTTATAAATATTGTATTACGTAATTAACTGTAAAATATATAAATTTGGAAATAAATAAATAAATAACAAGATTTTATATTTTAACTAACTTATTCAGCTAATTCATATGGTATGGTTAATTCAATCTGTTGAGAAACTAAAAAAATATTTATCACAAAAATGGTTAAGTATTATAAATTTTAAAAATGAAATAATCAATGATTAATAATCACCATAGTTATCACAACAATTGTTACTTTGTTGGAATTCACAGGTTGGGGAAGGTTTTCAAAATTTAATAATCTGCTAGTATAAACTGCATTTGGATGAATTATTGGAATAATTGTTGAAAGATCAAATTTTATTTTATTCATTTCATCAAACTCTTTTCTAATTGATATTAATTCATCCTGTTGTTCTTTTGAATATCTATAAATTTTAAAATTGTTTATTATTTCATCATTAAATGAATTATACCAAAGATCCATAATATTATAAATTTCATCAGCAGTTGGATGTTTATCTGGATTAGCATCCATGCATCTGAATGCTAGATCAATATAGAATTTTGATGTGTTGTTTGAAAATCCAGTTCTTACACCATCACATATTCTCATTGCAAGATATATATCATGTGCAAAATCATTAAAATGTTGTTGGCCAGTTGATACTACAGACATCAGAACTCCAAAACTATATATATCTGATGCCATTGTATATGGTTTCTCCCTTAAAACTTCTGGTGCAACATATGGTAGTACTCCAAATATACCATCTTTGTTTGATGAAGATGTTTGACTAGCTGGGCATGATAATCCTAAATCTGTAATATGTGAAAAATAACCTTGAAGAATACTACATGAAAATTACAATGAACAATTTCTTCTTTATGAATATCTTTTAAACCTTTTAAATTTTTAAAATCTTTTGTTAAATAATTTTGAAGATTTCCATCTTCTATATATTCCATTACAAATATATATTCTTTTGTAATTGGATCTTGTGCTAATCCATAAATATGAACTATTTCTGTTTTATTTTGAAGCTTTGTATAATTTTTAAACTAAAATGACAAATAAAATATTTAATTACAACAATAAATAATATCTGAAACTGATGATAATAAAATAATTTACCTCATTAAGAAATTCATTAGAAATATTTTGTGAACCATCTAATTTTTTTAATACCACAGTTATATCTTTACTAGTTCTTTTTCCACTACTTGTATCTTTTATACCATTTAACCAAACAGCTTTGTATATAGTTGCAAACCCACCTTTATTTATCCTTTCAATATTTGTTAAATCATTATAAGGAATCCATTGAAGATAATAATAATTATCATACTTAGTTGCTTTAAGTTGTGTACTTTTAATCAACTCATCTAATGTCTCATTGCCACTAGTCCATCCTTCAGTTAATAGCTTTGGATCACATGATTGACACCACACATAATGAGTATTATATCTATTGCAAGTTGGACATTTCCCACAATGCTCACTTCTTCTATATGAATATTCATCATCATTATTTTTGTTGTCAGTAGAAACATCATTGTGATGCTTATTGGTTGCTTTGTTGAAAAAATTCTTTAACATTTTTTGCTCTGTTTTCCATTATTTGTATTTTTTTTCTTATATAATCTCAAAAAAAAATTTTTTATTTTAGCCACAATTGTATATCACATGAACACAAAATAATATATTGACAATTAATATTTTTTTATAGACGGATTAAACAAATAGAACATACATTACTCAAAAGATTAATATTAAAAACTTAGACATGGTAAAAATTATTTAAAAACCTTTTTTTCTCTTTATCATATCAATGAATGTCTAATTTTATTGACAAATTATGAAATTGCTATTACTATTTTGGAAATTTGACCATATAGTGCAGAAATAGAAGGTTGCCTGCCGTATAATTTTTTTTATAATATGCACCTGCTGAATTTATTTATATTTATATTAATATTGTATATGTAATCAACTGTAAAATATACAAATTTAGAAATAAATAAACAATTGATAACAAAATTTTATATTTCATCTGGTATAGTTAATTCAATCTGTTGAGAATCTAAAAAAATATTTATCACAAGAGTGAATATTATAAGTATTATAAATTTTAAAAATTAATAAAAATGAAAATAATCAATGATTAATAATTACCATATTTATCATCAACAATTGTTACTTTGTTGGAATTCACAGGTTGGGGAAGGTTTTCAAATTTTAATAATCTGCTAGTGTAAACTGCATTTGGATGAATTGCTGGAGTAATTGTTGAAGGATCAAATTTTATTTTATCCATTTCATCAAACACTTTTCTAATTGATTTTAATTCATCCTGCTGTTCTTTTGAATATTTATAAATTTTAAAATTATTTATTATTTCATCATTAAATGAATGATTCCAAAAATTCATAATATTATAAACTTCATTAGCAGTTGGACGTTTATCTGAATTAGCATCCATGCATCTAAATGCTAGATCAATATACAATTTTGGTGTGTTGTTTGAGAATCCAGGTCTTACACCTTCACATATTTTCATTGCAAGATCTAAATCATGTGCCAAATCATTAAAAGGTTGTTGGCCAGTTGACATTACAGACATCAGAACTCCAAAACTGTATATATCTGATGCTGCTGTATATGGTTTCTCCCTTAAAACTTCTGGTGCAACATATGGTAGTACTCCAAATATATCATTTTTATTTGATGATGATGTTCGATTAACTGGGCATGATAATCCTAAATCTGTAATAAGTGAATAAACAGCACCTTGAAGAATATTACCACTATGAAGATCACGATGGATAATTTCTTCTTTATGAATGTCTTTTAAACCTTTAATAATTTTTTTAAGAATTCCAATTTTTTTACGCCAATTTAAATTTTTAAAATCTTTTGTTAAATAATTTTGAAGATTTCCATCTTCTATATGTTCCATTATAAATATATATTCTTTTGTAATTGGGTCTTGTGCTAATCCATAAATATGAATTATTTCTACTTTATTGTGAAACTTTGTGTAATTTTTAAACTAAAATAACAAATAAAATATTTAATTACAACAATAATAATCAATAATATTTTAAAAATCTGAAACTAGCATTAATAAAATAATTTACCTCATTGAGAAATTCATCAGAAATATTTTGTGAATTATGTAGTTTTTTTAATACAACAATCCTATCTTTATCAGTTCTTTCACAATTATTATTTGTATTTTTCATACCATTTAACCAAGTGGCTTTGTATATAGTTGCAAATCCACCTTCACCTATCCTTTCAATATTTGTTAAATCATTATAAGGAATCCATTGAAGATGATAATGATTATCATACTTAGTTGCTTTAAGTTGTGTACTTTTAATCAACTCATCTAATGTTTCATTTCCACTAGTCCATCCTTCAGTTAATAGTTTTGGATCACATGATTGACACCATGAATCACTAGTATTATATCTATTGCAAGTTGGACATTCTCCATAATAATTATATCGAATATATGGATCTTCATCATTGTCATTTTTGTTGTCAGTAGAAACATCATTGTGATGCTTATTGGCTGCTTTGTTGAAAAAATTCTTTAACATCTTTTTGCTCTCATTTAAAGTGTTTTTCATTTTTAAAAATTATTTGTATTTTTTATATCAAAAAAATTTTACACAAAATAATATAGATTGACAATTAATTTATTTGCCTTTTGTAGGCCAACTATTATTTACAGTTGAGACAACAAATAGAACATGCATTTACTTAAAAGATTAAAATTTTGGACATTCTTTTTTTTTTTTCAACAAAATAATGCTTATATTAAAACAAATAGAATGTCTAATTTTATTAATTAATTTTATTTTTTGAAATTTAATCGTGTAGCGCAGCAACAGGCCATATAATATTTTTTTATAATATGCATTTGTCGAATTTATATATATTTATATTATTTATATTAATATTTTATATATACAAGTTTGGAAATAAATAAACAATTGACAAGATTTTATATTTCATCTAATATAGTGTTGAGAATCACAAGAATGGATATTATAAATACTATAAATTTTAAAAATGAATGTTAATAATTATCATAATCGTCACTTGTTGGAATTCACAGGTTGGGGAAAGCTTGTAAATTTTAATAATCTGCTAGTATAAACTGCATTTGGGATTAATTGCTGCAGTAATTGTCAAAGGA